TAATAAAATGAAATATTATAAAAAGTTAGGCCGACCTTTCCGCCAGTTCGTGCCTTTTTTTCTGCAGGGAGAGAGAATGCAGTTTTGAAATTCGATCAAACATGTGCTATTATGTAACGCGATAGCGCAAGGTGTTATAATTACTTAAAAAAAAAAAAAAAAAAAGATCGAGGAAAAAATGGCGTTTTAATGCCGTTTATTGTGGGATATAAATAGGTGTTAGTGAAAAAAAAAAAACTAGCATTTGCGTGTGAGTGTGTATGTTTTATGTGTGTGTGTGTGTGTGTGTGTACGTCTGAGAGGGAGACTGGGTGGGTTGGTTGGTTGACTAAAAGGAAGAGAAAGAGATAGAAAGAAGAAAGCACAGAAAGGTGAGTGAGAAAGACAGAAAGAAAGAGAGAGAGAGAGAGAGAGTGAAGGGGTGAAGATAAAGAAAGAAAAGAAAAAAAAAGAAAAAATAATAATAAAAGGTATATGCCAAAAGAAAATAGTGTATATGCTTTAAACAACAGTAACGCACGAACGTTAATCGTTTAAACGAATAATGAAAGAAATAATGAACGAAATTCAAGACGTGTATTCCTATTCTTACGTAGTAGTATATATATTTTCAGTAAACGTTAATTATATATATAAAAAAAAAAAAAAAAAAAAAAAAAAAACACGCTTTTGGAATAAGTCAATAAATTAACGAAATATTAACCAGTTAAGTGTGGCGGATCTGTGCGCAAAGTGCGCTCTAGTGTGTGTCGCGATAATCAAGCGATGACGGATATAGTCGTCGCAACGCAGAGTAAGTTGTGGCGCTGTTAATATATTGGATAGTCAAAAAGACGACTTTATTTTAGAAAATGAACAATTTTTGTTAGTAATTGTATCATCCAATTTCTTAATACGAACATATATTTATACATAATAAATGGAAAAAATTAGAGACAAAAATAATCGAATATTTAATAGAAGTTACAAATTTATTCTTGACTTGTTTTTTTTTCTTTTTTTTTCTTTTTTTTTTTTTGTTGACCACTAAACATTTGAAACATATTAAAATTTACGAATATAATTTAGTTTTCGTTAGGAAAATTACAATTGAAACATCAAATTGTAACAAACTTTATACGCATGACGAATATAGACGTCATAACAGAAAATTTTGTCACATCTCCATGACGTATATAGTCGTCGAACACGCTTAACTGGTTAAATAACGTGTAGAGGATGAATTCTTATAAATTGTGTAGGATTGAATTGGATTGGATTGGTTGGAACAATTAAATGCTAAGAAAGAAAGAAAGAGAGAGAGAGAGAGAAAGATATGTGGATATGATAACAGAATAGATGATAAGAAATAATACAGGAATCGAAGGAAGGATTTCAGATAGAAAGAGAGTGTTAAAAGAATGAAAAAAAAAAAAATAATAATAATAGTAATGGAGAGGACGAACTTTAGCACTTGTTGATCGTTGATTAAATTGTCTTCGTTTCCTGATGTAATAAAAGCTATTTTACTTTGACTGCTAATGTAGAATTTCTTATTATTATTTTTCTTTTGTTTTTCTCTTTTTTTTTTTAAAGAAAAAAAAAAAAAAAACGTTTAACACATTCGTTTAACACCATTCGCGACCGCTGACGTGAATTCACGTCTTTTCAAGTTCTATTCCTGGTTGCCACTGACGTGATTCACGTCATATTTTACATTTTAAAAATTTAATAAATATAAATTTAGATTATTTTATAATAATAATAATAATTATTATTATTTTTTATTACTATTTTATTATTACTTTATTAGTATTTTATATATTTAATTATTTAAATATATTATTCAAATTTTATATATATATATATAGTAGTAGTAGTAGTAGGTTTTTATTACATGCCCTGTAGTACATGGGTATTTACAATCTTTCTCTTACATCACTAATCTTACATTTCTATCATATTCATCCTCTCAACTCTCTCACTCACACTTCCACTCCACGCCCACATTCTCCTCTATCCAAATCCACCCTGTCTCTTTATCTTGCTCTCTATTATTCTTATATACTCGCATATTTCTTTCTTAACCTCTTCTCTTAACGTATCAATTAACAACTCTTTCATATCCCATTAGCACCTATCATCTCTCCATCGTCTTATCCATTTTACCGTGACCTCTCTTTGGTCAGTCTCACCCTTCACACAACAGAACAAATGCGCCATCGTTTCTTCCCCCCCCCCTAGCACTCAAATTTTATATATATTATAATATAATAAAATATTATATATTATATATTATTATATATTATTTTAATATATATATATATATAATATTAAATATAATATTTTATATATAATAATATTCAAATAATTTTATTTTATTATATTATTATTATATATATATATATAAATTTAAATAATATATATTAAATATA